TGTTTCTGTGATATATTGCTTTAATAATCAAATTATTCATATCGCAAGATATATTCATAGCTATATTATATAAATATGCTGCAATTTTATTTTATTAAGAATGAAAATAACTGCAGTAAAAAATTTCGTCCGCACTTATATATAAAGATGAATAAGGACAAGGATAAGATGAACATAAGGATGAATGAGCTATTTTTCATCGCGACGGTACGTCGCTACCGTCAATGCGGAATTCTTCGCTGAGTGCTCAGGGACCTTAATACTTTTATATTTAAAATATTTCTAGAAGAATCATTTGCCTATAATAAAAAAATATATTACTGTTTACACGGCGACGTTAAACCGGTTTAAGGATAACCATAGTTAATGATTTCTTGTATTTAATTGGATCACAATTATAGATTTAAAAAATCTAACGCAAGGTTTCACTAACTACGGCTGTTACTAAGCCGGATTAATGTCGCCGTGTAAACATAGTATATAATTCCATTTTAAAAAATTCTGGCAATAGCTCCATCTATGCATCATCAATCAAATGCATCAATATCATAATTATGTCCCTCGAAACCTAATTTTTCAGCAACCAAGATTCTGCTTGCCGAGAAAATGGCCATGTTTCTCGTAGTAGTTTTATAATTTTTCTTTGAAAAGTTTGATCTTTCTTTTGTTCAAAATTACGTTATTTACGAGATGTTCGATTACATACCGCGCACACACGCACGTACGCACATCATACACACACACGCACGCACGCACGCACGCACGCACGCACGCACGCACACACATACACGTGCACGCACACGCATGCACACGCACACGCACGCGCACGCAGGGTGTGCCAAAAGTTTGGATAGAGTCGAATACCTCATAAACAATGCAATTTTGGAAAAAAGTTTCAGACAAAAGTTGTAAGATTCATATGTAAATATGAATTGTTTTTGTACCAACAGTACAAAAATTACACACGCGCGCGCGCGCACGCGTATAGGGCGTTCCAAAATTCACGATTCAAAATAGTATAGCAAGAAAAATTGCTATAGAAAGAAAAATTATGTCAAAAGTTTACTTATAAATTTTTATTTCAAGCAGTAATTTTTAAAATATAAAGAATGTAAGCTGGCCAATCATATACTTTAAATGAATATTTATAAATTATCTATAAGTCGCGTGCAGTAACCAATACTTCAGATGATGTGATCATTAATGTTATTGTATTAATATGGATTGTAATAATCTTTCTTTATAATTTATAATAGCGATATGATTTTAGTGAGTTAAAGATTTTATAATGCTTATTTATTGGCATTAGTTAATTTACGATCAACATATTATGATATCTTATAAAATATCAAAAAATGCGTACATGATCTGAATTATGTATTTAATAATATTATTGCACACGCGATTTAAACGTCCATTTAAAAATAATATATGATTGGTCTTGGAACTTACAATGTTTATATAAGTTCTCAGCTCGTGGAGTGGGTCGGATGTGTTTTGTCTCCACGGAAATTTTTGTATTGCATCATTATGCATTTTCGATTGTCGCTCACATAATTAATGTTTTTCTCAAATACATTCCATTTGAATCGTAACCTTTATATGATCATTGGCAATCCGCAAGGAAGCCACGGCCATACAAAAGTAATAGTAAATCTTTATCTTAAAAGTTTTAAAACTATTTAAAATAACTATTTAAAATAAAAATTTACAAATGAGCTTTTTACTTAATTTTTCGAGAACTTTCTTGCTATAGTATTTTGAAACGCGAATTTTAGGACACCCTGTATATAAATGTTGAAATGTTATAAAGTAAAAATAATAACAAATAAAATATTTTTACAAATATTTGTCAAATCTGTATATTTGACGCATGTGATACAACTAGATATATACATTTAACGCTAATTCTGATATCAAGAAATATTCTTCCATATTATTTTTTTATATTTGTTACATTATTTACTATATTTTTTTCATATTATCTGTTTAAATAAGTAATATATAAAAACATTGTTGAATTTGTTTTCAAATTTTAAAATAAATACTTAAAAATGTGATTTTATATTCCAAAAAAAATCAATTATGATCTTGAAGTAATTTTTCTATTATCATATTTTTCGCTTTAAATAAACTAATTTTAATGTATTATATTACTATTATAATATATTACTACATTTTTATATATTTAAACTTAATGGAAATATTAGTATTTTAGATAATTTGTATTTACTTTTAAATTAATCAAGTTAAATCAAGTTTTTTAGTGTAGTGCTTATTCATTAACTAATATCGATTTTCCTCTGACCTTTTCCTTCTCTCTCGTTATTTATCATTTATTTTTGTATTTTTGATTATTCATAATTTGATATTTAATTTTTTTATTGAAATATGAATTGAATTTCATTTAATATCGTTATAATCTTTAACTTTTTGTTAATTATGGAATGTTATGTATGTATGTCATATATTTTACTTCATGCGATATACTTGCATGAATTATGTGTATGTTTGATTCATTAAAACTATCGATTTTTATTCTCATTTTCTTGCATGCCGTTTTTATTAAACTTTTTTACGTGTTGCGTAAAGTGGTTATGCTCGAGTCTGCAATCACTCTCATCCACAGTATCTAGCATAGAATCCCTTGGTGCTCCATCGACTTTAAAACTTCCTTTATGGGATAAAGCATCGGCAGAATTTTGTTTTGCAAAATCGCGGGAACTATTGACAAAGCCAAGTACTTGGACTTCATATATAGACACTGATTTGAATGCGCACATATTAGATAATGCGGCAATGAAACAGAATCTAGTTAAGTCTACTGAGGTTTTGGAAAATGAAAATAGAAAAGGTTGTCTGAATTGTAAGAGTATTTCTGACATGGATACCAAATTAAATATTCGACATCAGAATAGTAAGAAATTCAATACCGAACATTCGGACTTTGATTTTCCACGTGAAATAAAGAGAATATCTACTAATTACGTTGAACGTTATTTTGAACAACCGAAATTTGAGGACGATGAAACTACTCTGGAGTGTATTAATGACAAGACATATTTTGAGGACGAAAAATTGAATAAATTCGACAAAATCAATGATCTAGAGCAGTCTAATAATTCGAACATTCAAGAGCAAAGCTCGTTAATTAACGATAGATCTAATCAAGTATTGCAAAATAAATTAGGCAATTGTGAAGTGGAATTGAAAGATTGCAATGTTACATATTTCGAACAACTACCCAACGAAAATTTAAACAAAAAAGCGACAAATTTTGAGCGTGCTCAAAATAAGTCGGATAAGTTTGATATAACGAAAGATAAAACGACGAATTTAGCTCTTGGTACACGATCGAAAATTCCCATTAACTTCACAGAATCTAAAATGAATATCACAGATTTTACTAAGAAAATTGATTTGTCCAAATCCAGAGTCGCAAAAATGTCCTTTGTGTCTATGAATCCCAATCAGGACACGAGCATTGTTTATGGTTCATCAGATAATATTAAGACCAATATGAAAATGAGTGGATGGGATAGTTCAAAGAACAATATAGAAACGGTAAAAGTAAATATGCAAAATTTTCGTAAGATTGAACAAAGCCAGAATAATCATGATGGCTTTCCATATGTGATATCTAACAATCCTATATTTATCGCTGAATCAGAGAAAATGGAATCTCCTATATATAGCAGTTCTGAAAGTTTGCGAGTAAATTTCCAACGTCTTAGAAGGAAATCTGATGTGGAAACTGGTCAGATGGAACTTAATAGCAAACTCTTAGCTGAGAAATATCAGCATGAAATTTCCGGCTTGGAGGGTGTTAAAAATTACTTAGACTCTAAGAAAGTTCATGGTTTAAATTTAGGCTTAAGTAAATTGACACAGAACATGATACAATTAAACATCGCACAGAATTCAAGAAATCTAGAAACTACTTTGCCAAGATCAATGATAACCAATATGAAGAATCTGGATTTAAATACGTCATCTCAAACACCTGTACGAAGTTTAAATGTGTCGATTCAGAAATCCAAACATATGGATCTGAACACTTCCTTGCAAAATCAATCAACAATTAATACAAACTTATCTCAGAAAACAAATTTGTCAACAAATCCGAATTTACATCACCATGTTTTGGAGCCATCAAAATCATATCAGAATGATTCCACCAGAAAAGAATTACCAAAATTAGATACGCTTACGGAAAAATTGTCTGGCGCTACTACTTATCGATACAGAACATCATCCTTATCGGAAAGTAGAAAATCTTCAGTAAAAAACTTACGCAGATCCTTTCATCCCATAAATGATTCCAGCGAGGATTCTGATTCAATTTCGCATTCAGAGACAGATATTAGAAGTCGTCTGCGTTACAAACGCAAACATAAGAAAGTCCCACATAATTTATGTTTGAATTTAAAAAATAAAGCTGCATTTCTGCATCCTAATTTTACTAAAGAATCGTCCACAGTTGAGCTCTGCGGAAAGTCACCGCCGCCATCGACAAGTTTCTTGAACTCGCTATCACCACCGTTTTACTCTAAGCACAATCTGCCTTCTTGGCCAGAAAGTGCGCCAAGTTCTACCTTGACTTTTACTAGCAATTCCGATCTTGATTCGGACACTAGCTCTGAATATCCAGAGTTTACAAATGACGCATTGACATTTCCTCCTTCTCCTGCTCCTTGAAGTTTTAAAGATAGATTTACAATTTTTGATTTAATTAAACTTTTTAATATATGCTCTTTTCATATAAAAGAGGGGGCTTGAATAATTTCAAAAAATGATTGATGAGATTATCACGTAATAAATGCATGCTACTTTAATTAAAGTAAAAAAAACTTATTAATTTAATCTATAGGTCATTAACTAGAAAATTTAAAAATAATTAGATTGATTTTATTTAGAAAATAAATATATTTATTTTCTCAGTAAAATGATTAAAGGATAAAAATAAGTTTATGCAAAATTTATTTTTTTTTCTAATATTGAATTATACAAAATGAGATATTGTTAACATAATTCATATTGGACTAAAAATAATATCTTCTTATAAATACGCGGTAACATATCACGTGTCAATAGACAATAGTAAAAAAATGTTTTTTGGTTTAGTATATTTACTAATAATTAACTTTACACAGTTTAGAAAAAAACTACAAAAAAAAAAAGACGAAAAGGATTCAAACGTGTGATGTCGTTCTGACTCATTAGCAAGAGCATTATACTCATTTAATTAATGATTAATTGCGATTCAAGCTTACAAACTTGATATACGAACACATATGGAAAACTTTAATGATATTTTGCAACTACTATTAATATAGTCAAGATATATTAGTCAGAATAATATACTATATATACTCAAAATTTAACGGAATTCAGGATGTCAAAAGTTGATTGTCCTTTTGTCAGTTCTATTGATCGTAAATTTGAGATTCGATAGTTTTATTTTGGAGTGCATTTATCATAATGTGTAATCTCATAACATGAAAAAAGTTTATTTCGCCAAAATTTTTCAAAATATTAACTTCTCTTTTTTTCATAAATTCTTTAGATAAAATTGTTTAGATATCATTCATTATTTTATAATTTTTATGCAGTTTATTAATGAAAAATGAATTTAATTTAATATTACATTTATATAATAATTATTTATATAATAATTAAAATTAAGCTATTTTTAATTAATAAATGCATAATTAATCAATTGATTAAAAGCACAACTGAAAATAGATGAATAAAGTGTTCTTATTTTCAATTATGAAAACATTAATGCACATTATGGTAAATGGACATTTTGAAAGCAATGATATTGATCAATAAATTTTATAAGCTAAAATTTTGTTATTAAATGTAATATTTTAGTGATAATTTTCATTCTACATTTTCGAACATAAGTTTACACGATTTCTTCTTCTTATTATAATTGAAAAATTCATTGCAAAAGTGTAGCAAAGAAATTTAGAAACATTGTACGCTACACGCATGTATGCATGCATACGTGCACACACATGCATATATATAAAAAAATATACATATACACATATGTGTACTCACACACACACACACACACACACACACACACACACACACACACACACACACACACACACACACACACACACACACACACACACACACACACACACAACAATATATAGAGACAAATAGTACGTACGTAACTACTAACGTTAGTTAAGTACCGTACTTAATTACGTTAACGTTAACGTAAACTAACTAACTAATAAGTATAAGTATAACTAATAAGTAGTAACTAATAATAATAATAAGTTAGTTATATATTATATATTATTATATTAATATATATATATATATATATATATAGATATTTATATATAGATATACATAGATATTTATATATAGATATTTATATATATTTATATATTTATATATATTAATATATTAATATATATCATATATTAATATATACTCATATATTTGGATATATTTACAAAGTTCTAATAATTATACATATATTTAAAAAGTTGATATAAAATTCAGCAGTATATATAAAGCGACTTATTATTAGCAATTTTTACACAAAATTTTTATACAATATATAGGAATAATTTATACATAATATATATCTACATTTACATATTTTTAAATATTTGCGGTATTTTGTAAGGTGACCAGATATACTTTTTCGAAAAATACGTGCACTTTTTTGAATAAGAAGAGGGAGAGGCAAATACTTTTATCTTTATTTTCTTTTTTGTGAAAACGTATTTTTTGTATTTTTTTTTCTATTTTTAATATAATTTGAATATAATAAGATTATATTAAAGGGACCAACATTAGTTTGTGCTTTTTTGCTACACAGAAACAGCATCAATTGTATTGGCTTGATATTAAAATTTAATAATATTAAAGGGATGTTATTTTGCCTATATTTTAACATTTTGTTTTAATATTTAATTTTAAATGCTTTAGTTACATATAATAATAAATATTTAGTTTTGTGAAATTATCCACATGTTTATAACAGTAATAAAAGAAAACTAATGTAATAAAAACTCCTTGTGTAAAGTTTTCACTTTAACTTTCCATCGCTTAACTGATTTCTCCTATACTCTTTTTCTAATCGAGTGATCTGGTCACTTTTAATAGAAATAAATCAGATGTTCTCAAATTAAAATTTGTATCATTATTGGATGTTATTAATTCTTTCATTAAATATTATTTGGATTTTTTTTTAGTAAAGGAATTAAAAAAGTAATAATCAGTTTGATGCTGAGAATTTGTCACTAGAGAAAATAATTATGATGCATCGAAGAATTATAGTAATTTTAAAATAATGTGTGTATATAATCGAACTTCCGTATTTTATACTTTTTTTATATTTTTTAATTTATTTTTTGTTTTATATTATTACTTTTTTACTACTACTATTGCATACTTACTATTTAAACATACATCCATAAAATAAAAATGTTATATATACAAGCATTTTATATTGATGATCAAATGCTAAATCTAAAAATGCGACCGAGCATTACAAAAAATATAAGGGAATAGAAAAATTGAGAAAAGTTTACAGCTGTTTGACTATATTTATACTAATTTATAAAAGCAAGATGTTTTTATGAATTATATTTACAAAAATGTAAAAATTAATACAAGTTTTTAAGTCTTTTTATAAAGAGATAACAGATTTTTTTTTTGAAAAATTTACAATATCCTTGTAGAATGATTTATAGCATTATATAAATCAATAAGTAAGTTATAAAAGAAAGTATCATTATACAGAATATTTACTGTAACAGTCTACATAGTTTTAAGAATAATAATTTAAAAAAGTTTGTAGAGATATTTTATTTATTTTATACAACTTATGTTTAAGAAAACCTTAAACATGAAAATAAAATTTTGGATGAATATTGGCTTTAGAGGCATTATGATTTTGATTTTAACATATATTATCAAAGTTATAATTCTAAGTAATTTTTTAATTATTTTTTTTACTGATTAATTTCTCTTCCTTTTAGCAATCAGTAAGGAAAGAATAAGTCGCACAACTGGCTGAATTTTTGAGTAATGATATTTTTTCCAAAAAATTAATATTTCTATGCAAAGTTAAATTTTAGAAGTATACATGATAAAAAAGTTTGAGAAATCAATTACATTTATTAGTAATTGAAGACATGTTAGATTGCTTATTGCATGAAACATTGTAACGAACGTCAGATGTTGTCGTTGATGGTTTATAAATAGTTGAATCTTTAATTTAATATTGAGCTGATACATAATATTAAAGATACGCGCACACATATACATGCACGTATAGAAAGAGAGGGAAAGGGGACTGAAAAATAAAGAATGCAAATGGAAAAGTGTGAACGAGAGTTTATTTAGTATTTTATATATTTATAATTTCTGTTTTTATTTCTATTTAATTTTATTTTTTCTATCCTTGTGTCTATCCCAATCCTGCACCATGTTCAGGCCACCTTGTCGGAAGAAGCTAAAGAAGTATACAACAGTTTAGTGGAGACACCAACATTGGAAAGTACTGAAGATACAAATCCGTTACGCATGTTGCGTTCTGGTCTACCTGTAGTAAGGCCCAGAATTCGTGGGAACAAGCATGCCACGCTAGGCTACCCAATGTCACCGCAATCAGATGATATATCCGATGAACACTTCCATTTCGAGATGCATCATAGCGGTGCGAAGACTCTACCTAAAGTCCGAGCACCTCCTGCATCTCATGTATCTTTATCGCTACCCCAATCGCGCATTCTTGAAAGACATCATTCTACCTTGGAAATAGAAAATAACCAAAATCAAAACAATATTGACGAGAATCCGATACCTCTGCCGCCTAGAGATCGTTCTAAAATACTTCAGGCCAAATCCAGCCTACCACGACATCAGAGGAAGCATCCTTTAATCATACCTGGAGGCGGTGTCACTAGAACTTTAGCAAAGATGACAATGACTACTACGCCACCTGTAGAGGATCAAGTGGATGGACATTTTATATCGCAAAGCAATTCAGCAATCACTAGCACATCGCAGGAAAATTCTTTGGAAACTTCTGCAAATAGGTGAGCTTCAATAGTATTATATAGGATTCACAATAAATTTATATTCTTATTTGAGAAACATTAATTATATTTTTATTATATTATCAATATACAATCTAATGTCTCAAATGTTTTAAACAAAAAGAATAGCACAGTATATGATAGTAAACTCTTTGAAAATTATAATTGAATTTAGAACTCCAGAAATGAACTTCACCTTTAATCCTTAATCCTTAAACTCTGAATGCTGTGAAAATTCTAAAGCCTTAAATCCCGAAACACTCCAATCCCTTATCCTAGACCTTTGAATTTGGAATGTTTCAAAGCTCATTCTCAAAAACCTTAAGTTCTTAAACCTCATAACCTTCAATCCCCCAACTTCTAAAACTTTAAACCTTTAAGTTCCAAACCCTTAAATCTGAAGACCCTGGGAATTAAGAGATTGGGATTCAAAGATTTAAGGTTTCAGAGGTTGAGAGTTTGAAGATCTAGGATTCGAGGGCTTAAGGTTTTAGAGTTTTTGCAACATTCAGAGTTTAAGAGGTTTGAGGTTCAAGAGTTTGAAATTTTGTCTTGAGTTTGTACTAATCTTCAAGAGTTTGAAATTTTTTCTTAAGTTTGTATTAATCTTTTGGGAAAACTCTTACTTCGTTCATTCCCTTCAAACGTTCTAGTCCTCCAATTCTCTCTGTGCTTGTCTTTAATTAATTTAGTTAGTTTGTTAGTTTTTTTTTCATACCTCTTCTTCTGATAATTCTTAACGTTCCTAGTATGTTTCTGCAGCATCAGTTTATGTATTGCATTCTTATTATACTATTTTTATTATTCTATTCTTTAGTTTTTGTTCATTTTTTGATGAGTATACGAAGTTGCTCTTTTCATTTTTATACATATTCATGAAAAAATTATTCAATTATTCAAAAAATTATTCTGTAAAGCCAATCCATAAATTACTTATTTTTAAAAAAATATCGGTAATTATCTAAATCCAGTATCTTTTTGAGAATGCATTTAAATAGCATTCAACTATTTATTATTCAGTATGTATAACAGGAGTATTCAAAATTTTCAGCCCAGAGGAATTCGAACAACGCATAGATTCCGAATTAACCGCACTGGATTCTTTATCTATCGAGGAAAATCGACTTCGTCGATGTAGCGTAATCTCGGAGGATTTGTTGGAATTCTCAGACAATTTAATCGAATCCAGCGATGTATCGAGTTTACATCAAGATGTCTGCGAAACAAATAATGATGGACAATCGAACAACTCGGCGACTAATCATTTTCGCAGTAAAATCAATGTCGATTCGAAACACTCCTTAAAAAATTCCGTATTTAAACTACAAGAAAATGTTGAAACGGATTTGTGTCGAAATGCAACACCAATTAGTTCTTGTAAATCAGAAAATCAAAACAAGATAAACCCTCTGGTCAGATCTCAAATTCCGTCTGCACAGATTTCTATAATGCATCCGCTAAATTATTCTTCACAAATGAACGTGGAAGAAATTTCTTCCAAATCTGAAACGTTTCAATGCGAAGAACCATTGATACAGATTGGCTCAAAGAACAACATTCATTTGACTACTTTTTCAAACACTTGTTGTTCATCCAACGAAAAACAAATTGCGACATTGCAAGCGACTTATCGCGGCAATCGGACCATGTTTCTTGTGAGGATCTATTAGAATTTGCCTGTGACGGACCGAATACACGAAGAACACGCGGACCCCGTAATGGAGAACAGTCTGACGAAGTACGGATCATGCTGAAAGTATTACAGGAACAGTCAACTCCAGAATCTTGCATCGCTGCATTAAATGTCACCGAATGGGATGTTCTAGCTGCAATTAAACTGGAGCGACTCCAATGTTTGCTAAAAAAGGAAAATAATTTTGTCGGTCTTGAAGACTGCAAAATGATGCTGAATCAATGTGGTGGTGATGTTGTTAAAGCGGCTGCATTATTGCGAAGTACAGACGACGCTACCGCTGTCTAGTTTAATTTCAATCAATTATCATTTGAAGCAATGATCCACGAATATTATAAAGATCGATTGAAAATTTTAATGTTAAAACTTTCTATTTCGAAATAATTTTTTCTTTTATAGCCTTGTAACAATCCAAAAATTTAAAAAAACATATATAATACATATACATAGATTATTTCATTTTAATCAGCTTGAATATTTCAAAATTAAATGGAACTCGATTGAACTCGAGTTTTTCAAGATTGTATGATTTCAAAGTATATCATATGATTATAACA